TTCTCAGCGACGACTCGAGTGAGTCTACTGAAGCTGAGCGTGGTCTGGCCTTGACGGAACGTCAAGGATTCCTCCGGCGATCTCGGTAAGACGGCGCTCGTCGAGATGCAGGGCTAGCGGATACGTGCAAAGTCGTATGGGAGCGACTTTGAAGTGCGGTCTCACACAAGGAAGCTAGTTGGCTTAGATGAGCAAGTTCTTGGTAGAACCTAGTAGATTAAAGTGAAGTATAATCTACAACAATGTATGTACTTATACATAGTGTATCTAAGTGTTCAAGCTCAGTCTGTAATCTATAGTATATCTGTGATCTAAGATAACCAGACATGAGGTTAGATAAAGTACATGAGGCTTAACCTCTGATCATACATGCGGCGCCAAGGGCAGCTGCGCATAGGTACAGGAAGCGCCAAGGGCGCTCCGGATCTTCATGAAGTGACATGCTGTATACATGCGCTGATCTAGGGTGACCATGAGGCGTATAGCCTCCATGGACCAGGTACAAGGCCGTCTAGGCCAAGGGCGGGGTCATAGCATCAGGCGGGGTCATAGCGCCATGAGGCGGAGTCATAGCGGTCCAGACCGCTGTTGTTCTAGGCGCAGGCGGCGCACCGCCGCGCGGGGAGTCTAGTAGAGCGGGGGCAGGCGTAGGGAGAGCTGGGGCTCTAGTAGGTGTTACAGATCCCTGTAACATCATCTGTTTCCTCTGCTCGTTGAGTGCCCGTTACATTAAGGGTCTTATATGAAAGTTGTGGATAATGACAACACAATTATACACAGTGAAGACTTCTTGCCAGTCCTTAAGTCCACGGTCTCCAACTTTTCTACTTCATGGGAGGTATCGTGGTGAGTTCTTGGGAGGATTTAGTTTGTTGTCCTCTTCTTGTGTAGTCTTTTATATATGAAGTGTCGTGGAATGTTCTGTGTTCTGGATAAATAGTTCGTTAGGTTTGTTTCACCCTAGTAGATCGTGTTTCAACCTATGAAAGTCTGTTTCAACTTTGTCGTCCTTAGATTTGTGTCTCACTTTCCGTTGAAAGAGAGAGTCTTATGTGTACACGTAAAGCTTTAGAATGAGAGCTGTTTGATGGTTATATAGTCAACCCCTGTAAGGTAGTATATAACCTAGAGTAGAATAATGATAATGAAAGTTATATAGTCAACCCCTGTAAGGTAGTATACAACTTCAGAATATAATAACAATGTGTCTTAGTCTTACTTCAAGGCGCCTTGCCTGCACTTTTATTCTTAAGTGCTCTCACACGGTTTGAGAGAAGAATGAAAAATGGGAAGTTATATTTCATGGGTGAAAATGGGGTCCTTTTATACCTTTTGGAATCCCCTTACTAAGCATGATTCTGTCAGATGGATTGGTAAGAATGTGGCTTACAAACCAGGTGATGAATCAGCTTTTACTAATATACATTATAAATACTGTGTAATCTTACAAAGAAATTACAAAGCATGACAGAAAGGTGCTGACTCTTCTCAGGGATTGGTCATGCAGAAGCTGACAAACCAAGCCTTTGGGTGAGCTGAATCATCCTTCTTACTAAGTACATTACAAACAAAGTTCAGTGTCTTACAAAGAACTTACAAAGCATGACCAACCATGACTGATCATGTTGAGTCAGCTTAAATAATGTTACAAACCAGATTATTCCCCAGTCACATGATGTGCTGACGAATGAAATCTGGTGGCTGAAAGAAGCCAAATAAAAATAAACAATGAGAAATAAACAGAAGGTCACATGTTCATAAAAATACAAGATAAAACAAGTCTGAAAAGTGAGAAATAAAATATAAGACAATGAATCAAAGGAAAAACAGAGAGGTAGCTTAGTGACAGAGGGCTAGACAGTCTCTCATACCTTCCTTATCACTCTATATATATATCTGACATGGTATGAATCACATACCATGCATGACACCGCACGGAGTCAGGAGGGTTGCGGACTAATTTTTTGTCTCTTCTGAGACCTCCGGTTTGGCTTCCAGAGTCACCGTGCTAGCACGACCTTTGGCCGCATGGGAAGTGGATTTTAGGCAGTCCCAGGCAGTATGACCGGGTCCGCTGCAGAAGAGGCAGAGCTTCTTTTCCATGCGCCTCTGGCACTCCTCGGAGGTGAGTTTACCATCTTTTCCGAGCTTGGACGTCAAGTCCGGAAGTTTGGTGGAGGAGGAAGCTGAGGCGTTTCCAGACCATCCACCGGAATACTCTTTCCGGTCGGAGGTTGGGGCTGATTGCTTAGTAGGAGGGGCGGATGCAGAGGGTTTGGTTTCGTGGGAGACTTCTCCCTTGCGTTCCCAGTATCGGGCGTCGATAGTCTGGGTGAGGGTTTTGTATTGGGACAGAGTGGTGGGTTTTCCTTGACAACTGATTTTGTCTGTGATGCGAGCTGGAAGTCCATTGTAGAATTGACAGCGCAAAGCTCCATCGCCCCAACCTTGGACTTGGGAAGCTAGCTGTTGGAACTCTACAACATACTTGTTGATGCACTGTCCGTCGCACATATAGAGCTGTTCCAGCTGCATTTCCACATCTCTGACCGGGTCATGAGGTCCGAAGTTAGTTTGGAGTTCTAACATGAACTCAGAGTAGTCATCCATCCATTCCGGACGATCCGCGAGATCATCCAAAAGGAGGTCCGGCTCAAACCATTCAAGGGCCATGCCCTTGAGGTATGATTGCACGAAGTTGACCTTAGCACGGCCAGTGCGGAAAGACTTCGGCTTAGCTTGGAAGTTAAGCTCACATTGGACAAAGAACGCCCAGAGCTTCCGGGGCTCAGTGCCATCGAAGGTGTCCAATTCTCAGACTTTGATTTTAGAGTCGTCAGGGACAGTGGATCGGCGGTTGTTATGCGCCAGGTTATTGATTGCCTGAGAAAGGCGGAGGAAGACCAGGTCTTGTGGACCGAGACCTTCATTTTCATCGTCAGTCGGGTCTTCTGGAGGTTCATCATCCGGGTCACCTCCCCCGTCATCCGGCGGATCTCTGCCTGGAGTATCTTTGTTTTCTGGGAGGAATCCGGCCGGTGTGCGAGTTGGGGTTTCTGGGTGCGGATGATTCATGAGTTGAGAGATGCTGGATGCAGCGCCCTGCACGCTAGTGCGACGCTGTGAGAAGCTAGTGAATGCATCGACTATGGGAGTAGAGCCGCGTCGGGCAGTTACTAAGCCCGCTGCACGTAGGTTGGTCTGAGTGGTTGTTGGTGCCATGAATTTAGTTGTAAGTATACTCGGTAAGGTGTGAGTTCGAATATACTGTTAAGAACGTGCTCAAGGGTCGGATCCGAAGGGCTTGGCTTCAGCTCGTGCGCTGTGCCCCTTACCCGAGTTCGTGCCCCTAACTTCCAAGGGCTGTTGGACGATGTCCGAAGGTTGTTGGATGAGTCCAGAGTCTGATGTCCGATGCGTGGGAATTCTGGCAGACATTCAGGAATGAAGGATAAGACTAATCCGGACGATGTCCAAACTAGAAAGGAAACAGCGGAGGACTACCAGAGGTAGAGGCGGAGGTGAGAAGTCTATAGGAATCGATCCTAAGACTAGCGGAGGACGACGAGAGGAGAAACTCAAGTCAGACGGAGGAGGGAATGAGCAGAGTCTAAGATAATATTCGAACTGAGGAAGTACAAAGATTCTACAGGGTTTATATACTACTGAGGACTTAATGGAGAGTTAGTCTGTGCAGTCCGAAGCTATGTGAGGCTGTGGACGGAGCATATAGAAAAGTCAAACACTAGTCTATCGGAAAATAGTAAATGAAGACGGAGATGAAGACATAGGAAAATAAAGGCAGAAATAAAACGAGGTAAGGAAAATGAGTATAGTCTAACTGGAGAAGGAACATACAAAGGGATTAGGCATGGAAGATAGATGTGGGTCGGATCTGGATGATAGATAGAAGTCGGCCGGATCTGGAAGTCCGGAAATGATGTGTGTGATTGGTCCGGGTCTGGAACATGGGATATGACAGAGATCTAGAAGAGGAGCTTGTTGAGTTTGACAAAGATGAGGATGACAGGGACACAGATGACGACGAGGAGGATGACGAGGAAGATCCAAATAGAGTCATTCCAGACTCAGACAAGGAGCTAGATGATGATGTCCTTGCTCAGGCAGGATATGGTGCACTGTAGTTGAAAACAATGATTTGATTTAGTTGTGTCTACTACAAATGTGCATGTCATAGAAATAATAGAGATGTAGATCAGTGCAGAGGGGCAAGATACAACTAGAAGATTGCATCATTACCATCCATAATCATATTCAAATAAGGATCAAAAGCAGGTCCAATAGCAAGCACAATAGTATCAGTGGTATCTTGACATTGCAGTTAAGAACGTTGCTCTGTGTTACGACAAACGGTCGTGTGCGACTAGGATAATCTCACAGCAACAACCACGACAGTGGTACCGAGTGCTGAGAGTCGTCGGCCTTTACAGACAAGCAAAGGTTGCGTACTCGAACGTAGCTCATGGTGGTTAACGAGGGGTTACGCTGAGATGATAGCAGGGTTTACAGACAGTGAGAGGCGTCACTGAAGGTACGAGTCGATGTCGAGCAGGTAGCTTTAGCGGGACAAGGAGTTCAAGGGTAAACCTAGTAAGATTAAAGTAAGGAACATCTACTGTTAATCTTCGACCTTATATAAGGCTACTCTTCGTATCTAAGCTCAGCCTAAAGCTGGGTTCTAATCTGCTTATCTACATGAGTCAGAGATAGCGTCCATGAGGCGGGCTTCTATCGTAGATAGCGTCCATGCGGTACGCTTCCATCAGAGATAGGATCCACGTGGTATCCTTCTATCAGTACACGAGGCAACACGAGGCTTGCCTTCTATCTTGATATCATTAATAGGTCTTCTAGACCTATGTCGTCATATCATGTCACGTGCGGTCCAGACCGCTTATCTAAGCCGGCAGTTGCCGCTTATCGTCTATCGTCATCTGTCATCATCTATCGTCATAGAGCCAATGATGCTCTGTTATCGTCTATAGAGCTGGTGAGGCTCCGGTGTCGTCTATAGCCGTGCGGATGGCAGAGGGCTCTCTGCTGGCGGGGGACTCGTGCCATGTTACTGTAACACTCTGCAGGTTCTTGAGTAAAAGGTTCATGAACGTGCCTGTGTACTGGGCCCTCTGATCACCAGGTGCACGTGAGATATCCTCGATGATGCTGATGGTGACCATGCGCAAAGGGGGGGTAAAGATGCGAGCGCAGGTTGACAATGTGAGGGCGGGTGAACGTGAGGTTGGGTGAGAATGCAAGGGCAGGTGAGAAGAAGATGTGAGGGCAGGTGAAGATGCGAGGGCAGGTGAGAATGTCTGATGTCGTGCAGAGTTCGTCGATGACTGGTGCGTATGCTCCCCCATAAATGCAGGAGGCAAAATGCTGTGGGACAACATGCAATGATGACGCCAATGCCGGCTGTGAGAACGAGTGTGGGGCTACGCTGCTTGACATCATATGCAACGGGGAGAGCATATCAGGAGAGCGTGTGGTTGATGACACAGGAGGCGACTGTGCAAGTTTTGTGCTGTGGCATAACATGGCTACAATGTCAGTGAGCACATTGTGACTAGGGTAGGGTTAGGGATACGCACCTTCAAGGCGTCACCACCATTACTGAATATTCATTCTAATGCCTATTGTTATTACCACTGCAGAACCTCTCGACTTGGCCGACAGAACCTCCTTCTTCCACGACAACGTGGTCGTAATGGAGATCAATAATCTTCTGGCCGGATGGCCCACTTACACAATCAACTTCACACACGAGCATCCAGGACCATTGGTAAGTAATCTTTTTAATGTCTGAATTACTCTCAAAAACCGATATCTACATTATAGAAGCTCATTTTATGCTTGAAGAACGCGTCAAATTTTCGCTCAACTGAAGATGACGATAGCGCAGATGAGGCAGGGGGAATGGGGAAAGTCAACACACCACCAGCCATCAAGGAAGACCCAGATGTTACCATGGTCTGTGAGGCCACCTCAAAGTACATGTTTTCTTGTATATCTTGATTATTGCATTGACCCCGACTACAGGGATGCACCGCAATGTGTCAGTGTGCAACCTGTGCAACTACATGGCAGATTTAAGGATGCTCCTTCAATTGTCACCTTATGGGAGAAGTTTGAGCGGGACAATGATTATATGTGGCCCCCTCATTGTGGCTTCAGAAACATAACCACCAAAGAACCACTCAAACATGTTGACACATTCATGACGCTACCCGCTGCTGTAGAAGCATTAAAGTGAAAATGAATCCCGCCTTCAGGCTTCATTTCTCGCATCCTATTGTTATTGCTTTGCGCATTGTTGTTATATTACCTCCCATGGACATTGTCTCTACTTGCAGTCATGTTTTTGTTGTCATGCACTTGCACGCACTCAAATTGTAATTGTAGAATTAAGTTTGTATTTCTTGTTGCGCATATAATCATGTGACCTAATATCACGTCCACATAACCAAACATTTGGAACTTGATACCATATCAGTCCGATGTCCTAACCCTTAATTCATACCACCATCATGTCAGCGCATCGTCATGCTGGCACATCTTTGAGCTCGTCTGTCCTCCCTGAAACATCAGATTCATATGTGCGTAGCACATCTGAAACCTCATTCAAATCTTCTCCAGAGCCCGTGAAACTCGGGAAATGCAAGCACAAGTCCGATTCACCCTCATCAAAACTCAGTAAACGGAAGCACAAACCTTCTGATGAGGAAGAGGAGAAAGTCAAAATGAAGCAGCATCTGAAAGCTAAGTCGTCTAAATGCCCACAATCATGAGTTTCTGGCATATATACATGCATATATTGACTTTATATTTTATTTTAGCCATTGAAAGGAGGAAAAGTAAGCATTCTCAACACTCGTAGATATTATTCTAATGATGCATGTAGGGGTGCTATGACACCACACGATCAATGTCTGAACTTTGCTCGATGGATCCCTCGAGGGATCAACATGTTCTGCATTCTCAAGGATGTCTTCCGCATCGCACCTCTAATTGAGGATGCACATGCTCAATCTGATGATGACTCTGATGTGGATGACATGTACAACACTCTTCTGTCTAACATGTAAGTAATCTTTGTTGTGCTTCACAGTTGTATGACTAATGGCTACTAGATCGAAGGACACACAGGACCAGATCCTCCGAACCTACAAGAAGACTATTGCTGGTGCACCTTATCTCCAAGAATTCATGAAAGGTGATCAAAAGAAGTCTGCTGAGCTACAGGAGATTCTTGACGATGTATGTGTGCATATATGCACCTTTTAGTTAACTAATGACTGTGCAGATGCAATATTTGATTGGACAGGTGTGATCCAAAGATGTGGCTCACTTGAAAAGGAGCATCACATGATATGCTACCTTCGATGGCAAGGGTCTGGAGCCTTCCATTTTCCCCGAAAGCATGGAATCACATGTGAAGATGGGTCTCAACCACCCACAACTGGCATGCATGTTGTGTCATATCAAATTCCTTTCTGAATATCAGGAGGACCCCTCAGCATATGTACTTTTTTCATTGCATGTTCAAATACTAATATCACCTAACCAGCACTAAAGCTAAACTTGAGGCTGGAACCATCAACATGGATGCGCGAGCTTGGCCTGCACTGTTGTACAAGGCCGGAGCCACTGGAGTGGCTGGGGAGGCCTTTGACCTGACGAATGTACAGGATGGCCTTTTCGAAGGATTTCTAGTTGAACGTGTGAGTTTCCATGTGTTGATCTCTCAACGACAGACTACTCACCTTGCTCAAGGTTATGAAACATGTACTTACCAGTCCCTCGTCTGCACTCGCTGGAGACAACTTCCACATCTCCAATTCTTGCAATGCTGTAATCCACAGAATGATGATAGTAGAAGCTGAAAATATTGCTTATGCAGCTGTCCAGGCGAGTCATTATGTAGTGCATGACTCGCTGATTTATTTGTCTTCCACAATAGGCATGCTCGGCAATCACTTCTTGTGACAAATGGACCACAGAGGACAGTAAATTCTCGTATCGAAAGTTTTATTACAGGATCATCGACATCATTCGCAATCTGCCAGACAAAGCATGGGCAACAGCAACCCTACAACACTACAACCTGTATGTCTAAATATTTTTGTAGTACATTTGCTGATCACTTTTCTTTAAGAAAATTATTCAAAGACAAGGCTGGACGTGCTGCCGCCCTCTTGACCTCTGCAACCTCAGATGCTGGAGACTTGGATGAAGATGAAGACAATGTTGCATTGATGCGCAAACAGTTTGCTCTTCGGTCTGCAAAACTTGCAAGCACAGTAAAACCTGCTGCACCACCGCCTGCTCCATCAAGTATTGACTCGGAGGTGCTTCCTCCACGGCTGCATACTCACAAGGACCCAGGCCCATCAGCCTCATCTTCTTCTACTCTGCATTCCTCTTCACCTTCTCCCCTGGTTTCAAAGCCACATCAGCCTGTGGCTAGCCAGGTGCAAGCCCCATGCTCACCTGCAGCTGCTCCCTCCACTTCAAAGTTGCATCCCATTCACACAGCACCATCCGAGGCATCCACACCACTTCCCTGCAAGAAACAGAAGTTGACCCAACCAGAAAGCCCACTTACGGAATCCGAAGCAGAGGAAGTTGAAACTCCAGTTCAAAAATCGCCCCAAAAAGCTCAACCCAAGGCCAGTGGAAAGACCACTAAATCCACTAGCGCACCAAAGAAGAGGAGGATGATCTGTAATGATTGTCCATTGTCTCATCATCAACACTGATTTTTCTCACTCAGGATGGGTCTTCAAGCTGCTGTGCACTCATCGCATGTTTTGCTCTTGTCATTGTCCCACCTCTCATTCACAATTCGCACTCAAGCTGCTGTCCAACGTCCAATCATCGCATGTTTCTTGTTGTCACTGTCTCCTTCAGAAGCTTTGGCGCATGTCCGCTCTTAGCGAAGCTTTGCTGCATGTTCTACTCTTAGATGTACTTTTACTGTCTGCTCATACCATGTATTACAATACCGTAATGAAATGGTCTTATCAGAATTCATCACCAGATCAGAACATATAAGTAATATTGGCATATCAATGCTTCTAAGCTCAAAATCCATGCTAAGGTACAAGTTACTTGCCCAACCTTCGTCATCTCACCTACAATTGAGTTTCTCAACCAGATCTTATATGTTGTTTCCCCCACCTTCTGCGCGCTGATATGCCTGGTGCACCTTTTGCGACCTTGCATGTCCTGGTCAGCCCTTGTCAACCCTTATCCGAGTTGGGGAATTTCAGTGATGTGCAAGGCCCAGCTTGAAGCCCTGGGCTGGCCCAAGCCAGGCCCAAATAGGCTGGGCCCAGCCCAGGCCTAAGTCATGGCCTGTGTTACAAGTAACATCAGTCACGTGGCCCCCCTATCATTTTCCCTTCATCCTCGCCCTCACCATCTACTGGCTCGTCCTCCTTTACTGACTTTCCATTGACCGGATCCTCGGGACCATTCCCGTCCCTCGCATCGCCTGCCTCTATGCACGTGCATGCACGTTCCTACTTTGATTCGACCACCAATGTGGTCCTGCACCTATGACTCGGTCTGACTCATGCCACCAATGTGGCTTTCCCTTTCTGTTCCCTTCTGACTGCGGATTCCTGCACGTTGTATTCGTACCGTTGGTCTGTTCCAACGTTTCTCAGTCTCATTCTGCATTCGACCATTCCACCACTAATCCGGCTCTGTTGCCAATGCACCTATACCATTCTCATTTCCCCTTCACCCTTTCCTACTGTGCGGTAGCCTTGCCCTTAACCCTCTCCACTTAGTATAAGTAGTCGGTCACCCTGTACTAGATTCTCTAACTTGAATCTACTCAATCTTCCCTGGAACATACTTCTCTCTGAATGCCCCTTTGGCTTCAGTCTCTAGTATCTTTTCTTAGTTGCTCATCGCAACTAAGTCTACCTCGATTGACCTCATCGTTCGGACAAGACTGTCCTTACTTTGAGCAACTTCATAGACATCTGTCTTAGAAGTCACGTGACACGCGCGTACTGTGATCACTGCCAACTCGTTGTCACCAGTCTCACTTGCTATACTGGATCCTTCCGGTTATGTCACGAACATTAGCAGACGACGCCCCTCTTAGGGCTCCACATAACAGATCTATTTGAGTGCGTAACAGCCTGAGCAGGGCTTAGGCCTGGGCTTGGATTTAAAAAAGCCTAAGCCAGTGGCCCAAGCCGTGGCTTTGGTACATAGAGTATATGACACCTTGTTATGTCAGTGGTCACGCCCCACAAGTATGTGTTTGGCATGTTCTCATTACTGACTCTTACTATGACATGATTCCTCTCAACTTCAACTACATACACTCGAAATGGCAACTGAAAGAGATCTGTTAATCTTGAATGGAACACAAGATCATTGTCTGCCTGGCCCTCGAGACATTTCAAGGTTGATGCATTACAGAATTTTTGTTGGTCTGTGGTCTGTGACTTTCCTTTCAGTGAGTTTTTCATACAACAGTCTTTCTGTGTTTTCTGATTAGTCGTGACTCCTCACCATTTCTCATGCAAAACTTGAACAGATAGATGTCATATCACTAGAAGTGAACACATTCTCAGCCTCTATGGAACCTACCTTACAACCAGATGGATCCACAAGTGGCAATTTCACCCTAGAAAACATCCTCAGAATGAACCACAAAGCAGTTGAACACCCATGACTCAAGGAAAAAGGTATGAATTTCTTGGCTTGACCATGGTGGATCTGATACTTACTTCTGTACTCAGCAAGAAAATGATGTTGAGATGGATGACTCTGATGAAAAACTCGACCATATATCAATTGAAGCATTCAAGGTGCCCGTCTCTACCCAGTTACTAGGTGCCCAACCTACAATTGGATCCAAAGTTGGCGAGTGGTTCGTCGACCGCTCAAAACACATCCCTCTTTGACTCACATACGGTGAGTGCAAGTACCTATGCCTCCTCGACGCTGCACTTCAGGTATCTGAGTTACAGTATTCAGCACTTACTCTTCCGGGCGTGAAGAATCAAAGCACTTGAGTGCTACCGATTGTCCATCTCCTCTCTCTCATTCTCATTCTCCTCCTTGTCTTCTTCCTTTCTCCTGCTCTCATTCATCGTCCATATTTGTCTGAGCCATGTCAGCAGTTGCTGATGTGTGCTGTGAGTTTGCACATGGTGTTCGTGGTGCTGGGAACAGCATGGTGGAGCTTGGACATAGATTTGGGCTGCGGCTTGCATGGGCCTAAGCCCTGGCTTTGGGCCAGCTTGGGCTCACGGCTCAGGCTTGAAATCTGGTGAGCCTAAGCCCCCCCCAGGTCGAGCCTAAGCCGGGGCTTTGAGCCCAAGCCAGGCCAGAACATCACTACTCAATCTTCATCAGGAAAAAGCACAGTGCCTATGCGAGCCTATGTAGCTTATGTAGGCTGGTTAGTCTAGTAGGTAAGTCTCAGATATGTAGGAAGGTCATGTATAGGATTGGACTATGATAGGTTCTTGATCGGCTCAATAGGCACTTTCTCTTGTAGGATTAGGCTTCTGATAGGCAGGGTAATTGGTACTATATCTGTTGCACTTAGAAAGTGTCACATGAGAGAGTCGATAGTTGTTTGAATAAACTTAGGTTTCAGATGTAATGACTGTCTGAACTAAATTGTATTCAGAGGGGGTAAAAGATCAACTGCTCTACTAGTACATGAACTAAGGTCTTAGATACTGTAGAGCTCGGAATACTAAGGAATACAATGGAAGGAAAAATAAGATGAGTCAGGAGAAAGGTAACTAGGAGAAAATTGGTTGCTATCGTCGATATTAGATGATAGCTTTTGATGAGTGTTACGTATGCCCTCCAGGTCAACTCAACAGGGGACCTGTTTCTTCAGATGATGCGAGTCCGTAATCTCAGGAGGCTCACATGGCAGAGAGCGTGTCTACCAGTATATGGATTAAGATTGTGTGTAACATGAGCAGGGCAAGGATCACCAGCTTACCGAAGAAGTCAGTGTTAGAGATCTTGGACACCCTTGCAGCTCTCTCAAGGTCGAGATGTTTGACTGTGTCAATGATCTCAGAGACATCTGGTCCAGGGTCAAGGACTGGGGCTGAGGGAGGAGGCAGTACAATGGTAGGGTTGCATGCCTCTTCTTTGACAACAGCAGCAATAAGCTGAGCTGCTGTCATAGTAGGTGCCTGAGGCTGAGAAGGAGGGGGTGCATGATTGGCGAAGGGGTTAAAGGTACATGATGCAGATCCTCCAGAGGGTCGGTGACCAGCTCGATATCCATAATGCTCACGACCATGGTTGGACAAGTGGGGTACATGATGATTGTCCAACATTAAGTGATGGGAATGCTGGTGGTACTGAGAGAACTTGGACTTGTGTTCTGCCTGCACTTGCTGGTTGAAAGCATGGGCCTCATTAATTCTTCTTTTCAGGGAAAAGCCCTATGATCAGCAAAAGTGCGCTGACTTGACGTCAGGTGCGGCTTACTAGCTTCAGCTTCAGCTCTGAAGAAGCTCGTAAACACGCTCATGGCATCAGCATTCTGAGTTCAAGCTTTGTTTTGATAAGGACCTCCTCATCCTCTATACCAATTACAACATCTACTAGAGCGATGTTGTTATGACAAACGGTCGTGTGCGACTAGGATAATCTAACAGTGACAACCACAACAGTGGTACCGAGTGCTGAGAGTCGTCGGCCTTTACAGACAAGCAAAGGTTGCGTACTCGAACGTAGCTCGTGGTGGTTAACGAGGGGTTACGCTGAGATGATAGCAGGGTTTACAGACAGTGAGAGGCGTCACTGAAGGTACGAGTCGATGTCGAGCAGGTAGCTTTAGCGGGACAAGGAGTTCAAGGGTAAACCTAGTAAGATTAAAGTAAGGAACGTCTACTTGTAATCTTCGACCTTATATAAGGCTACTCTATCGTATCTAAGCTCAGCTCGAAGCTGAGTTCTAATCTGCTTATCTACATGAGTCAGAGATAGCGTCCATGAGGCGGGCTTCTATCGTAGATAGCGTCCATGCAGTACGCTTCCATCAGAGATAGGATCCACGTGGTATCCTTCTATCAGTACATGAGGCAACACGAGGCTTGCCTTCTATCTTGATAACATAAATAGGTCTTCTAGACCTATGTCGTCATGTCATGTCATGTGCGGTCCAGACCGCTTATCTAAGCCGGCAGTTGCCGCTTATCGTCTATCATCATCTATCGTCATCTATTGTCATAGAGCTGGTGAGACTCCGGTATCATCTATAGCCGTGCGGTGGCAGAGGGCTGTCTGCTGGCGGGGGACTCGTGCCATGTTCTTGTAACAGATGTCCTTGTCCAGAGCGGACATGAGGAGGGTAGGAGTCCCGAGTCTTAACAGGGGCAGGAATGTCAACATTCATAGTGTCAGCTAGAGGAAGTTTGCCTTGATGGGACACCATTGAAGGGGGAAGGGCAGCAGGAAGATTTGAAGATGAAGGGTCAACACCCTGGCTTAAATAAGTTGAGGAGCGATTGGACTCGGCTAAATTCTTGAGTGGGAGTCAACTGAAGCAAAAACTATATTACACGCCTCTTCATAAGTGTCAATGGTTGCAAACACAATATCAACTGCACTGGGAGATACCTTCTTTGGAAGGTGCTTAATTCCAGGGGCGCCCAATGATTCCAGGTACTGGCCAGTGGCCTCAAGGCAGGAGACAGCATGGTAAGGGAGCCAGTTATGGTCTCTGGTAGTGTACTTCACTTTAAACAAGGTGTCAGTCCCTTGTCCATGATGGTCAGAGACGCGTACAACTGACCATTCTTCAGACATGCCAATATCTGAGATTTGTTATAATTGATGACTGGGGAAGCATCAATCATTATTAGGCACATGTAGACGTAGCAGATGAGCATGGAAGGCAGGGTAAAGACTGTGTTGCTTGAGTTTTGTGGGGAGATCAAGCAAGTATGAGTTATTGTGATAATCCTTGAGGATTCTGTATGGGCCTATGTACTTGGGTGAGAGCTTCTGGGCATGTCCCTTGGGAAGAGATAAGTTCGCTGTCGACAAGTACACAAGGTCCTCTACAATGAATGGGGCCTCTCTTCACCTCTGGTTAGCAACAGTAGTACTTTTGATGCGAGCTGAGATGACGGCATCATGCACAGCCATCATCACATCCTTCATTCTCCGGAGAAAGACATGAACACTGGGGTACTCAGAGTTTGTGTTCCATATCAGTGGCGGGAGAAGTCTGCCGTAGTTCAAAACAAACGGTGGGAATCCTGTGGCACTAGAGCACGTGGAATTAATGGTGAATTTGATGGCTGGAAGTCAGGTAGCCCAGTCTTTTGATGCAGGGATACTAGTGATCGAAGCATTTGAGTGATGGTCCTGTTAGCATGTTCAGTGGCACCATCAGACTGAGGGTGGAATGACATGAACATGCAGAGTTCAATGCCAGTAAGTTGATTCAGGTGCTGCCAGAAGGTGCTTGTGAAGAGTGTATTACAGTCACTCATAATGTTGGAAGGCATACCATGTAACTTATACACCATGTGAAACATTACTTCAGTGACATCTTTCACTCTATAGGTCTGTTTGGTAGCGGCTAGGTGGACCATCGAAGTCAGATGGTCAATTGCAATGAGGATCATGTCGAAGGTTCCTTGTAGAGTCTTCAATTTGGGTAATAGACCTACAAAGTCAATCCCAATCATTTGCCAGGGTCTGGTAGGGACATCCAGGGTCTCTAGTTGCCCATAAGGTTGGTGATTTGATGGCTTAGATACTTGACATGTGTGGGGCAAGACTCACAGAACACTTGTACATCTGGGGGCTAAGGACTTCCACCAAATGTTCTCACATAGGTATGACAGAGTCTTAGACGGTCCTAGATGTGCAAAGATAGAGTGCATATGTGAAATAATGACTTTGTGCATCCAACACTCGCCAACTCATACGTCTAGTATACATAGCATTCTCTTGTGTGAGTTCCTCAGATATATATGACTGTTGCTTACTTCGAAGTTTTTGAAGGACCCAGGTGACTCAAGGATCCTACTGAAGAACTGGTCATCATGGTACTGGTTTAGCATGGACTCGTGTACATCGATCAATGGCTCACCCAAGGCGATGATGTCTGTGAGACACAGTGGGAAATTAAGGACGTTGTCAGTCACCTGGATGTCCTTGTTAGGTGTCATATGATTTTGTTTGTCCCTGCTTGTCTGAGTCTTGATGTTTGCAGCTTCAGGACTTGGCTGTTCAATCTCAACTATGACATTAGGTGGGGGTTTGTCTGTTGTGTTGCCGGCTGACTTTGCACTTTTCATTAGGTCTTTTTTTACCATCCTGCCCTCCAGTAACTCAGGAGGGGTTCTACCCAATTTCAGGGTCACTTTCTTGATTCTAGGTGGGTCATCTTCTAGTGCCGGTACCGCTAACTCTCTTTCTTTGCCTTTAGATGCATTAGTCAACAGCGCTGCCTTACTACCCGTGGTACCACTACCTGCACTGGTGGAGGCACTTGGACTTTCATGCTCCATAGGGTCAGGTTGAGTGTGGGGAGGAGGATAATATATGTATGGGTACGCTGGTGAGTCATTCACTCTGTTCTCAGGCATTGGGCTGACCATGACTTCAGTGCAAGTCTTGTCGCCGTTTGACCTGCCCTTCATTGCCATCAGGGTCCCCTCGCTGGACGTGGGTACATCTTCCAGGACACGCCATTGGGCGATATGTGCAGAGTGGTGGGCCTCCATTGCACCCAAGAATAGTGGTGTGCCGGTCACATAATTCAGTAAATACTTCCCATGTTACACAGACACCCAAAGTTGAGATTCTTCCAAGTGAGATGGACCATCCAAACGGGCCCAGATCCAACTGTGGGCTGAAAACATGGGTGGGCCCATGATGTTTGTGATGCCTTGGCATTGACAGCTGGGCCCATGGGTGACAACTGACAATGGAATGATCACACAGTTGGGCCGAAGAGGGGTGTTAGAAATTAATATCTGGGCCTAATAATGAAGTGGAATCTCTCAAATGAGCTAAAAAGTGATGGTCTCAAATTTGACATTCAGGCCCAGGGTCCTGGTGTAGGAATGTGATATTTGGGCCCAGGTTGATGGTTGAAATCCACCACCAAAAATAATGAACCAAACTGGATGTAGATGAAATAGTTCGGATTATATCAATTTATTATCCCAGGTCTGGTAGAATGACCTCCAGAACAAGTTCCCTTTCAATATGTGTCAATATTAATCTACCACCCTATTTTATGACCAAAACATCAAACCTTGCACCAAGAGTGATGACCCAAACTGGAAATGCATTGAATAGTTTGGTGTGGAAACAACAATCTTGCTGGGTGGCAAGAAAAGGTTGGGTCAAGCTAATGCCTAGCTGCTATGTCTGAACAGACATGTTCGACCCTAAAGGGAATTGCTACTAGAACGATGGTGGATATGTGTGACCCAAGAGCGCGCTAAGCATGGGAAAATAGCAGACAAGGTATGCACGAGGTATGGAAATGTATCCAGAGGTATCCAAAGCGCAGGAACACATGGCCAAAGGTGCGGAAAGCATAAGAAAGTGCAAATAAGGTACAGGGAAGTCAAGGAATGAGGTTTGGAGAGAGTGGGGGCAAAGGTATATTGCGAGGTAAGGAAAGTCTAGGTATAGGGATATAATATGGACTAAAAAGTGCGCACTACAAGGGACTACTTCGAAGGTAAACCTATAGAGGGAGGTACACAGTACGAGGGAAGTGTAGTAAGTAGTACTTAGAAGTAGTCAACTTATACTGTCTAGACTCTCACTCAGAGAGGGAAGGGGTAGGGGGTATAGGGGGTATGTAAGGACATGTAATAAGGCTGCAACTCATTTTACAAGCCTCGAGGTAAGGAAATTCACATACCAATGGGATTTGGACAGACTATGGATGGACAAGGGGCTTTCCTAATGCATTCCCAATGCAGCCGATGCACGGGAAAGTGCAGGCTCGGCTTCGCACAGGGGTTACTTGTTGTATGAGGGATGGATAAGGATAGGGAAACTGATAGTGTTCTATACTTCTTGATATCAATATGAAAATAAGCTCTTTCCTACCCAGCACAGTGTAGGGACTGATTCCTGGCTAGGCTTGTAGAGACTATTCTTACCTTGGTGTTATGTTTGCACTGTTGTAGCTTGCATAATCAAGTTACCTTTTCACCAGTTACTAGTATGAGTCTGAGTATTCAGCAAGTTTTTATCATGTTTCCTCTCCTTTGAGCCTTGAGCCTGGTCTAGAAATCCTTTAGGGTCGAATAGCAGCTAGGTTCTGCAAGACCCAACACATTGTTCTGAATCACCATCAGAATTGTTGTACCCACAGTGGGTCCGAGCATCACACCGAAACAAGTTTCCTTTCAATATGTGCCAATATTGATCTACTACCCCATTATGTGACCACAATGTAAAACCTTGTACCGAGGGTAATGATCTGAACCAGAAGTGTGATGAATAGTTCAGATAACATCAATGAATAGTCCTGGGACCGGTAGAATGACCTCCAGAAATAGTTTCCTTTCAATATGTGCCAATATTCATCTACCACCCTATTTTATGACTGAAACATCAAACCTTGCACCAAGAGTGATGACCCGAACTGGAAGTGTGTTGAATTGTTCAGATAACATTAATGAATAGTCCTGAGTCAGGTAGAATGACCTGTGGACATAGTTTCCTTTCAATATGTGCTGATATTCATCTACTGCCCTATTGTAGGACCGAAATGTAAAACCTTGTACCAAGGGTGATGATCTGAACTGGAAGTGGGTTGAATAGTTCAGATAACATCAATGAATCATCCTGTGTCTGGTAGAATGACCTCCAGAAAAAGCCTCCTTTCAATATATGCCAATATTCATCTACTGTCCCATTGTATGGCTGAAATATGAAACATTGTACCAAGAGTGATGATCTGGACCAGAAGGGTGTTGAATAGTTAGAATAACATCAATGAATTGTCCTGGGTCTAGTAGAATGACCTCCGGAAAAGGTTTTCTTTCAATATCTGCCAATATTCATCTACCACCCCATTTTATGACCGAAACATCACACCTTGTACTGAGAGGGGTGATCTGAACTGGAAGCGTGTTGAATAGTTTGGATGACATCAATTTATCACACCAGGTTCAGCAGAATGACCTCCAGAAAAAGTTTCCTTTCAATATGTAAGTGCGGGATTCATTTACTGCCCCATGGTATTACCCAAATATGGACCCTTGTATTGAGCATGATGACCTGAGCTGGAAGTGTGTTGAATAATCACATTGGATAACATTAATTGATCATACCAGGTCCGGTAGAATGACTTCTGGAAAAACTACCTTTCAGTATGTGCCAAGATTCATTTACCATCCTACAACAATCCTTAACTATGTAGATTTGATGTGTGATGCTAGATATGTGAATCAACCTGTGTGTGATCAAATTTGCAGTCTTAGTGAACTATTGTCTTGCCTAGTCATCTAATTGTGCCATAAGGTTGTTGTTTGCAATTCTTACACTATTCAGGTCATATACTTATTACCTCTTCCCTCAATACCAGCTAGATAGTCTACAGTTGTGGACAAACAAACTTGACAATTTTGGTCTTCAATTTTTGGGCACTCTCCATTGAATCAAATCAAATATTTAAGCCTACAGATGTAGTATTTGGGACATGATAAAGTGATTTGCACAAGCCAATTTTCTCTCTGTGGGGTCCGAAAGTTTTTCACCCTCAAAATTTGGCCAACCCCTAAAATGGATAGAAAAATACTAAAAAATGCAAAAAATGTTCCTTAGCACATTAGCATTGTGATCATGATGTCTGATTCCAAAATTGGTTAGTGTGTTGTGAAGGAAAAAAATGAACACAACCAGTGGTTGAAATTTGAGTTAGTGCCTACAACCACCAATCCACCTGCCAAAATGTGTTGTGGACGCCCACCCAAGTCCACTCGATGAAGGAATATCAAAGGCTTTCAGAACCAGCTTCATGTGGCTGCACAACAGCAGCATGTCTCCTCGTCATCTGAGTCAGATAATGTGTCTGAGTCTGAGTCTCCATTAAAAAAATAAGACTGTCTCATCCTTCAAGTCGTTCACAACCTCCCAGCCCTGCGAGTGTCAGCAGTCATACTTCTGGACACAATACTCACACCTGGCACCCCCAATTGTATTTGACAGCCTGAAGATGGTCAACAACTATGATGAAAGTCAATCAGACATTGAATTGGATGCAGAGGAGATTCCAGACACTTATCTGAATGACAGTGGCCTCTGTTCACGGCTCATTGACCTTGCAATGTCAATTGATGATAATCCACACAACGAGACATGGCTGTCTCCAAAGAAAGCCAAGCGGGTGGCTCAACGAGTGCCACGTCCAAAATTTTACAAGAAGGGTCCAGATGTTGGCAGCAAGTCAGCACAAACACAACGACAATATAAAGAACTTCTTCAAAATCAAAAATCACTCACCAGTCTCGGATTCACAGTTCTCACAAAGCCATCCACATCTAAATCAGCTCCATCTGCACAGACTGCACCATTGTCCAAGTCACCCAATAATGACAGTTCTGCCAGTGACTTGGACTCTGAAGATGCAGGACATACTGTACCTGCATCAGAAGATTCAGAACTTACCATGGGTCTTGCCAGCAACTTCAATGCAGAGAAGATGTGGGAAGACGATGTGACACTCGGACCCGCGCTGGGCGGGAACGAGTGTCTTTTGATACCCATGTCAAGGTCTATGGAAACTCGTTGGACCCATGTCATCCCAGTCCTACTCTAGAAGTTCCTTCGGCTGATAGCCAACTGGCATACACCCACACTCGGATCTGTCCTCCGTCCATATCCTTTCCGTGTCCGCCTATCTCCATTGGTGCGTGTTCATTTTCTCTCAGTTTGACTAAACACTATCAAGGGTTATTACATGTAACCGTGTATTCTGTTCCGCGTGCTCTCTCCTTACATATTACTTATCTGCCTCGTTTCATCACTACAGTTCTCGCCTACAGGTTCCAGACGCTCACGCAGTAGGATAAAGTCTCGCACGCTACATACAGTACAGTACTTCCCTTCCCTCGGACACTACCTTTGTTTTGGCGGAGTCACTTAGACGTTCCTAGTATTATTGATCAATTGACAAGCCTTGTTCACTTCTCACTTCGAACCCATGTGTTCTTGACCGCTCCGAGAACGTGCCTCTAAGTTTTCTTACCTAGGCTCTGCGTGGATCTGAACCACTCTCGGATTCCGACTTAGCATTTTCATACCTAGTTATACCTCGGCCCCAAACCTCATTTATACCTAGCCGCTACTTGTGGAACCGCACTTTACCTAGAAACCTGCCGCTCTTTACCTAGGATCCTCTCGCTTTCGGTCATTTCTCATCACGCACTCACCGGACCTGTGGTCTCGCTTTTGCTCTTACCAGCGGACTCACTTTCCCAAGGTCGACTTAGTTCTTTCCATTCCGTGTTTGCTCCCTTCGCATATTACTTGAAGGAAGTGCTTCATAACAATCCTCTTGGGTCGAGACAGCACACCTGCACTCAATTGGATTTATTAGTGCTCTAGCTTTCTTGCTGGCCAGTCACTATTACTTCTTCACAACGAGCTGCAGGAGCAGGAACAGGGTGGAGTTGAAGTGCGAGGTTGTATGAGCTGAGAGAGCAGATCAAGAAAGATCTTCAACAAAAGGGCAGGAAGATACATTTATCATTCTCTCGGATAAACCAATTGTTGCTGATTCGGAACTTTGCAACATTCCGGCTAAAAGGAATGGGCCAGATTGCAACAAGTCTCAAGATTGCCCATCAGTGGCATGAGGATCAAGGAGCAAACTTCACACGAAAGATATGGGCACTTGCATGACACTACCAAGTTTTCGAACAGCTTCCAGCTGAAAGGCATGGTGGGCAAGAAAACACATTAAGCCCTCTCAAAGATGAGAGGCTTCAGCTTGCTTGTCGTCAGTGGCTAATGTCACAGTCAATTGGTGACATTACTCCTTGTAAATTCCAACACGGTCTTAACACCACCATTATTCCATCATTAAACATCTCACTTGCACGGCCACTTTGCGAATGAACAGCAAGACAATGGCTAATCAAACTGGGGTGGCAGCATACAATTTTACGAAAAGGGGTCTATATGGATGGTCATGAGTGTGAGGATGTGAAAAAGTATTGACAGGATGTATTCTTACCTGCAATGGCTGCTTTTGAGTCCCACATGGCACATTACAAAGGCCCAGAGTTGCACCGTGTTGAACCGAACTTGGCACCTAGAGAAGCAGAGGTGGTTGCAGTCTGGCACGATGAGTGCTGCTTTCACACAAATGATTACAAGATGCAAGCTTAGTGAGTGATGTTGCCTGTAATTCAGTTTGTTGCATGACAAAGTGGAAAAACAGTTTGCTGCCTGGTCAACAGATCCTTCAATGAAAGGGGAAAGGAAGGATCATCCATGTGTCTGGGTTTATTGATGCAATTGATGGTCGACTCGCACTGCATAATGAACAGGGTGAAGTCATTGAAGAAGCATGAAAAATCATTTACCCTGGTGCAAACAGTTCGGATAATTAGTGGGACATGGCGCAGTTGCTTGCACAAATGAAGGACACAATCCATATCTTTGAGGCTGCACATCCAGGCCATGTAGCACTCTTCATTTTCAACCAATCCTTGGCTCATGCATTCAACATGAATCAATCTAATGGGGGCAAGCAGCGACATCAACATGATACAATCATTCCACAGTCTAACCCAGTTGCTGAGCATCATGGGAAACCTCAAAAAATGACATTACCAGATGGCCGTCCTAAAGGCCTGCAACAGGTTCTCGAAGAACGGGGATTTGATGTCTGAAAAATGCGAGCGAAGTGCGCACCTGTCTGCTCATGGAAAGCACTAATTGCTGTATGGCTCATCTTCTCAGTCAGCAAGAAGACTTTGCAAATCAATTATTGATGCTCAAAACACTCATCAAGAAAGCTGGACATGAGTGCATTTTTCTCCTGAAGTTTCACTGCGAACTCAATCCAATTGAGATGGTAGGCTAGTTCAAGCTGTTTATGTCAGTCTCTGCTTACAATGACACAATTTCATGTTAGTATTGGGGCTGGTGCAAATACCGCTATCGTGAAGTGCCAAAGAAGACTTTCGATGATGCAAAGTGTTGTGCGCAAGAGCAACTCTATGCATATCCAGCTGATGTAATCCAGCAGTTTATCAATCATTCATGGCGCTTTATGAGTGCTTATCGGTTGGGTCTCACAGGAAAGGCAGCAGAATGGGCAGTTCAGAAGCAAAGGCAACATAGGCAAGTCTCGCAGTGTGCCATGATATCGATTGAGGTGGTACTGGGCAGTGCATAGCAGTAAATAGATGCTGTTGAAAATAGCCAAAAATTTGGCCAACCTAAAAACATGTGGGAAAATTATGTTGAGACCAGTTTCAGACGTAGTTTCACTCCCTGAAGCCATTCTCACAGTCAGATTTGTGCCAAAAAATGTTTTGGGGTCAGGAATGAAATTGTTGAGTTTGTTTGTCTGCAACTGTAGTGGTAACTTGGTCCCTGTTGCGATACAATGCGGGATTTTGGCCAGGACACTGCTCTACCATTCAACTCTCCACAGTGCCATCATTAATCATCCATGTTATGATAATGTCTAATACTATCTGTTCAATTCTATTTGTTGTTGTCAGTGTGTCTCCTTACATTTTTCTTATCATATAAGCTATAGGAACATGCATCCTGGAGGTCATTCTACCAGACCTGGGATGATTCATTGATGTTATCCGAACTATTTTACTCACTTCCAGTATGAATCATCACCCTTGGTACAAGGTTTCACATCTTGGTCCTACAATAGGGCAGTAGATGAAGATTGGTACATATTGAAAGGAAACTTGTTCCAGTGGTCATTCTACTGGACCTGGGATAATTCATTGATATTATCCAAACTATTCATTACACTTCTGGTCTGGATCATCACTGTTGGTGCAAGGTTGGATGTTTTGGTCATAAAATGGGGTGGTGGATGAATATTGGCACATATTAAAAGGGAACTTGTTCTGGAGGTCATTCTACCAGACCTGGGACTATTCATTGATGTTATCCAAACTATTCAACACACTTCCGGTTCGGATCATCACCCTCAGTACAAGGGTTTACATTTCGGTCCTACAATTGGGCAGTAGATAAATATCGGCACATATTGAAAGGAAACTATGTCTAGAGGTCATTCCACCTGACCTAGGACTATTCATTGATGTTATCTGAACTATTCAACACACTTCCAGTTCCGGTCATCACTCTCAGTGCAAGGTTTGATGTTTCGGTCATAAAATGGGGTGGTAGATGAATATTGGCACATATTGAAAGGAAACTTGTTCCGGAGGTCATTATACCAGACCCGGGACTATTCATTGATGTTATCCGAACTATTCAATGCACTTCCAGTCTGGGTCATCACCCTTGGTGCAAGGTTTGATGTTTTGGTCAGACAATGAGACAGTAGATGAATATTGGCACATATTGAAAGGAAACCATTTCCGGAGGTCATTCTACTGGACCTGGGATAATAAATTGATATCATCTGAACTATGTCATCCACATCTGGTTTGGTTCATTATTTTTGGTGGTGGATTCACCTCAACATCACATTACCTTCACCTAACTACCTTGCCATACTGGGTGGGAATGGCAAACTAAATAGTACAGCAATCCCTTGTTTCTACTATACCCAAATACCCCCCCAATAAAAACCTTTATTGCTTATTGCAATGCTTACTTAAATGCTAGGAACAATGCTGACAGCATTGGTAGGTAGTAGACAGCTTCCAGGGGCTTACTGAGCGCTGCCCACCTCTCCCATGATGTTGCACCTTATGTCAACCAGTCTCCTTGTCATTCCCCACAATGATGACACTATCTCCTTCATATGTTGACCTTTTTATTTGGTTCTTTTTTATTTCCACACTCATTTTCTAGCCTCTACCCTCCAGCAATACTGCAATACAACCTGTGCCAGTCCTTCACCCTCCTGCTGCTATTTGCGCGCATGTCACTAAGTTGGAGTCTCAACCACTTCTACTCACCGCCAACAACCCTCTCTGTCACTCCATTGTCGACTCAAGGCAAGGGCATACCTCAACAGGTTCTGACTAAGTCATTTGTCATCTCAAAACTGCTGTGTAAGTCATCAACTCTACCTGTTGCCAACCACCCTCACTCTCACTCAAATGTCTACTCGAGGCAAAGGCATACCTCAACAGGTTTTGACAATCTCATTTGTCATATTCAACCTGTCCTGTCAATTGCCAATTCTACTCATCGCCAACCACCCTCGCTGTTATTCAAATCGCTACTCAAGGCAAGTGTTACGGTATACTCGTTCCCTTCGCTTCTCTTTCGATACTGGACAATGGTACATGCACACTGCTCTTAATGAACGACCAATCACCTTCCAGAACCTCACTCATATCATCGCCAAGCTAACCTTCCGTACCAGTAACCATCACTATGTTTAGATCACTATCTCTTATCAAGCGGGCTGTCCGCACCATGGTTACTATCTCCTATCTGTTATCTCTTATCACTTACCAAGCGGGCTGTCCGCCTTCTATCTTGATACACACTTACAATCTCCGATTGAACTCTCGCTATATAGTTACATAGCGTACCACATGTATTTCCTCACTTTAATCTACTGGGTTTTACCTGGAACAAGTCCTTTAGCAAGGTCTCCAACCTTGCTATCTAAGAACCACTATTCTAAGGAAGTCGCCGATACTTGCCTTAGCCAGAAAACCTTTGACCTCTCACTCGAGAGAAGAACCACGTCTGTCTCGCCGAATCTCAGTCCACTCGGACTTAGACAGCTCGACATACCCCAGTCGTAACAGCAAGGGCATACCTCAACAGGTTCTGACAACCTTCTTTGTCATATTAAACCTGCCCTCTCATCGCTAACTACCCACACTGTCACTCAAATATCTACTCGAGGCAAGGGGGCACCACAGGTCCTAACAAATTTGTTTGTCATATTAATAAACCTGCTATGTAAGTTGCCAATTCTACCTGTCGCCAACCACTCTTACTCTTACTCAAATGTCTACTCAAGGCAAAGGTGTACCTCAACAGATTCTGACAACATATCAAACCTGCCCTCTCGTTGCCAACCACCCTTGCTGTCACTCAAATATCTACTCGAGGCAAGGGCGCACCACAACAAGTTCTGACCAATTCATTTGTCATTTCAAAACCACTATGCTCTAGACTACTAAATGGATTATGAGGTGCTCATAAGTAGATAGTAGACACTATCTATGCAATGTCATTGTGATTTTCACCCTGTTACTAAGCAGTGCACCTGGGTCCTCTCTTTTTCCCCTTGTCAGACCTCTCCTTCCTCCGCTTTTTGTGTACAGCCACTTCGGTACCACCAGCGCCGCTAACTACATTTACAAACTCTTTGAATGGTGTGCGGGTTCGTTTATGTGATGTCAAGCTGTGTGATACACTTGTATTAGAGTCTGCACGAGCCATAGAAGCTCCTCTGGTTGGTTCCTCCAAGGGGGAGATTGAATTTACATGCGGCATGTTAGATTCTTGTGAAGGACATTAAGTTAGGCTCGCAAAAAGAAAATTATGAATCATACCTTCGTTATCATTGTCATGCTGTGACAGTGCAGACTGAAATCTCGCGTGGTCCCACTGCTCCCACTCATCATGAGACATCTTTCGGAATGTTGTAACACCCATCTTCAATACATTGTGAAGAACCCTTAACTCCATCATTGAGCCAATGTCAGAGGGGCTGACAAAATTTTTCAGTGGCCAATTTTCAATCACAATGACATGCTTCATGGTGATTTATGTGTTGAAATTATTGTAGAACATCTTAGGAATGGGAACTTGCGCTGCTTGATCTAAGTATAATTAGGTTATTGATGAAATGTTCAAGAAAATAAACACATACTCAATTTACCAAGAATGAGCGATGTGAGCTCTCTCTTCAGTGTAAGATATGATTCCTTATAGTTTGAGACAAGACCTGCCCCATGTTAGCACAGATATATGTCAATAGTAAGTAGTCAAAATACCTGTGACACCAGAAATCACACAAGCTTTGAGACATGTAGCAAATTTGTGAGGCATGAGTTTAGTCAACATAACAAAATGGTCAGCTAGCTTGTCCTCTGACATGTATATGAATGGTCATGCTAGATGGTCACAATCTCCATGAACAGCAATGAGAAAAATCACCTCACCAGTCTGTGGAGTAAGCTCTGAAAGCTAAGTGGTGTGACATTGAGTACCAGGCAAATAGAGCAAATATTTAGAATAGCTGACCTGAACTGAAATCGAATCAAGTGTACTGCAGACATCATGAAAGGAATTGATGGCAACATTGTGCACAGCCAAACTTTTGTTGGCCCTATATTCTTTCAAGTCATCCATGTAGTCCTTGGTCATGTTTTCCTTATCTTCCTTCAACATGAACTTCCATTCCTTGGACAGTTTGGGTGCGATCTCAGATGCCTTGAGATGTGGCTTGGTAGGATCGAGTGCTATGACAAACAGTTAGTAGACACCAATAAACAGTTCATAGGACATACCATCATTGTGTTTTTTGAGTTCACCATGCAGATAGGCATTCCAGTGATTTCAGCCTCTCTGCTTGCCCTTTGTGCATGTGTTCTGTAGAATAGCTTCATAGAAGTATTCTACCGTATTAGTTGCAAATTTTTCATGAAGTTTGAGAGCATCTGCATATTTCATTTTGCGGGCAAGTCATTTCTCTTTCATTGCTCGCTTCTCAGCTGCAGAGCATTGGACTTGTTTCCGCTTCAATCGATGACGCTATGGTGTTTGATAACTACTTTTCATAGTCTTCTGATAATGAAAGTCACTGGAATGAGATTTTTCAGGCATTGGAATGACAAAAATGACAGCAGACTAGAAAATTGTGTTGAACTAGCATGAGAAGTGAGAACAGTGAGGATATAAGCAACCAATATGACAGAATGGAGGTACATGGAAGCGAAAAGATGGAGCAAAAATATCTGCTGACTGTTGCTGATGAGTCAATAAACAATATGAAAGAGGCAATCAGATGACTATCTTATCTAGGTGTCATTGTGCAACCAAACATCCTGACCTGAGATCAGCTCATAGATATATGCCGCCTCCAACACAGGCATTCCTTTGGGACACACATAGGCCATGAAGTCATCAGGACCAAATGCATCCTTGAAGGCATGGATGATGCTCCAAACTGCAGACACCTTGTAGCCATGAGCCTGTAAATACCTCTCTGCACTGTCTCCAAGGGTTCCTCGTGGCAGAAAGTCTTCCAAGTCTTGTGCATCGTCGAGCATGGATATCATACTCAGGCTCCTGGTTGCAGGTTCTCAGGTACTCCGACTGCTCAGCTTGCCAGGCCTTGATATCCCCGTCATCGATCCCAAGCGAACATTTAGCTTCCTGCAGTGCAAATCCATCTTCTTGGATGATGTGGAGGGCCTGCTTATAGTTACCGTAGAGTATGTTGCTAAGGTTAAGGTATTTGTCTTCATCCCATTGACAAAATAGCATGTCGATGAACATGCGGCGGTTGTATGCTGATGCATAGTGTATGACGGGTGCAAGCTAATTTGAGTGACTGAAAATTCTTTCCATTGTTGCAAGGTCTTCAAGGCCAATGCCCTCGATGATATTCGGGTGATTGATATCTTGACAGGCGTAGTTATGTGTATAACCATGGAACACATTGATGCACATATGAAATTCATTCTCAGCAAACTTAGTGGCAAGCGAACTTGATGAAATTGTTTGAGCAAGTTTACAACCGATGTCATAACTAATCAATAGTCAAGGTCCAAGAATATCGAGCGCCTGACTGACAATGGAGAGAGAATATTTGAAACTACAAATGATACAGCTATTAGGGTTCATACAATGATGATGTCAGCAATACATACAGTTCCCCATTACAAATCATGTCGAAAATCCATTGTATAATGCCGTGACGGCATGCACATGCAAATATTCCAGTTTCCTCAAAGATGCCCCATGATTTCTTCTTTGCATTGTCTCTTGCTGCTTTCCAGTTATCCATACATGTAAATGTAGAACCAGTGGAGGTAGAGGCACATTCACCGTTGGCAGTGACGTTAATGTCAGGATGTTCAGGGCTGGGCTTTACCTCATGTGCAAACTGATTAACAAACTCAGGCTCCAGAAAATAGTCACTCGTAAAGATGTGCCGATCACCAACTTTGCATCCATCCAATGGCACCATGTGGGATAGAGTTGTTACCATCAAGGACGATCATCTTGCAGAATTTGAGTTCTGGTTCATCCTCAAGCTTGAAACACGTTAAATAAGTCTGTGTACTTTGCATTGGAGGTACTTACCTCATAGCTACAAGGTGGACAAGAATTCAGTACCCGCCAGTTAGCTGTATTATGCGCAAGAGTCTCCGAAACTTGTTAATCGATCTTGTGTCTCATCATCAGGTACACATCAAAGCAGTCAGCTAATACATTTCGGTAGTGACAATGATAGGGCCACTGTAATTGACTTAAGTCGTTGAAAAGCATGCAGGAAGAAAAAAATCTTACATTGTACAGGTTACAGATGACCTTGGCAAACACCTTGATACTGAACAAAGGTTTGCGCAGCTGTATCCTATGGTAGAGCTTGAGAGTCGACAGTGACATTGCTATAGTGGGGGAGAGTGGACTGGCACCTACATAGCCACTAAGTACTAGGGCTTCAGATACGGTCAAGACAGATGCTTCATGACGGATGATGGCAGTGGATTGTAAGGTGTAAATATTGATCACATTGATTTTGAAGTCAAATGATATGGGAGGCGATGGTTTGGCTGTTGATGGAGGGTCCAGATTGAGAGGCTCTGGGTGTTGAGAGGCAGGCAAGGGATGTTTGTTATTGAACACAGTAAGGGTATACCCATTGAAGATAGGCTCTAGAGAGGGTCTCAGAGACTAATGCCCAGTTCTCTTGCAAGCATTAGAGGTGTAGGCTCCAAGTGTGTTTATCTTTGTAGACTTGCCACCTAATTGCATAAGCTAGAGTATAAGTCATAAGGAAATTGAACTTACTGGCTGCTAACAATGTCATGAATGACATGAACAAAGGGCTCATCTTCCTGTAGATCATCCAGTATCATTTCCCACTGCAATGTGTTATCCTCATGGAGAGTGGTTGTATTGTCACCCATAGAAAAAGCTCGATCTTGGGGAATGTCATCTCTCATGTTAGCGAGTAGCGCTTGACTCTGAAAACCAAGTCTTACATAGAAATAAGCAAGGAATGGCAGTAGAACAAATTACTCATTTACCTGAGGTATTAGCTGCATATCTATCATGATGGCGCTTACTCTCTAGCTGTTGCTGAGACTGACTAAGAATTCGTGCTTGCGTATGAGCTTTCATTCAAGAATTCCCAATGACTATTCTAACAGAGCAAAATACACCTTGTGTGCATGCAGGACCCATGGTGGCTGAGGAATGGAGTGACAGCAAGGGTTGTTGGCAGTGAGTAGAGGTGGTTGAGACTCTGACTTGGTGACGTGCGCGCAGACAGCAGCAGGAGGGCAAAGGACTGGCACAGGTTGTATTGCAGTATTGCTGGAGGGTAGAGGCTAGAAAATAAGTGTAGAAATAAAAAAGAATCAAATAAAAAGGTCAACATATGAAGAAGATAGTATCGTCATTGTGGGGAATAACAAGGAGACTGGTTGACATAAGCTGCAACATCATGGGAGAGGCAGGCAGCACTCAGTAAGCCCTGGGAAGCCATCTACTACCTACCAATGCTGTCAGCATTGTTCCTAGCATTTAAGTAAGCATTGCAATAAGAAATAAAGGTTTTTATTAGGGGGGTATTGGGATATAGTGGGAACAAGGGATTGCCATACTATTTAGTTTGCCATTCCCACCCAGTATGGCAAGGTAGTTAGGTGAGGGTAATGTGATGTTAAGGTGGGTGGATCTCAACCATCAGACCCTTGGGCCTGGCTGTGAAATATGAGACCATCAACCTGGGCCCAAACATTACATTTCTATACCAGGACCTTGGGCCTGGATGTCAAATCTGAGACCATCACCTTTCAGCCCATCCGAGAAATTCCACCTCATTACACTAGGCCCAGACATCAATTTCTAACACCTCCCTTTGGCCCAACCATGTGATTATTCCATTGTCAGTTGTCACCCATGGGCCCAGCTATTAATGCTGAGGCATCACAAATATCATGGGCCCACCCATGTAACATGGAAAAAAGTGACTGAATGGGCTCATACAGTGTGAGGGAAGTATGTAAGTAATACTTCAAAATAGTCAACTTATACTGTCTAGATTCTCACCCAGAGAAGGAAGAGATAGGAAAGATAGTAAATATGTAAAGACATGTAATAAGGCTGCAACACATTTTACTAGCCTTGAGATAAAGAAATTCACATACCAATGGGGTTTGGATGGCACCCTTAGTACTTTTCTCCTGTTCCCAGTCTAAGAGACCTAGTTTCCTTGTAAAGTGCAACTGGTCTCTGAGACATATCCTTTTGTGTAAGTATAAGACCTCTCTGAGAATAGTAGTACCTCTCTCCTCCTATGAGCTCTTGGTGCTCCCACTGCTTCTCTTAGTGCTATGATACTCTCTGCTTCTACATAGTACTATCATAGGCTTCTGCATAACCTCTTCCACCCTCTGTGCCTCTCTAGAGTCTGTGCCTTCTGTGATGCTCTTTGCTCAACCTCTTTCACCCTCCACACCTCTAAGTATCCTCCACGATACTCACATTTATGTTTTTTTTGGACTATCATATTTGTATGTTTAATATCAGCTGTTTATTCCCTGTACAACGCACTGACAACTGAGTGACACAGCTATTAATGTAGCTGTCTGAGCACTATTTATATTTGATTGATATCTGGCTGAGGTAAATCACTCATATGAGGCACAAAACACATGTATTATTAACAGCACAAAAACATGTAGCGAGTGATACATTGTACATACAAAAGGTTCGTACTATTGAGACAACAGACACCTTGGATTTACCTTAGAATGGTCCCTCCTTTAGGTTATTCCTGCACTGTCACCTGACTAGGTGGTACATTAGCAATGAGACTCCTGCTCTTATGGTGTCCATCTGCTCGAGGAGGCTCATGCTGATATGTATGCTGATAGCTAACATGACCCTCGCAACTGGTTGGATGCATGTATTTTCCACGTATGTCTGGTGGCAGAGGTCCATATAGGCAGTCATCTAGAAGCTCATGGTCTGCATACCACACATCATGATAATATGGTCACCTATTTCTAGTAGCATCATGATAGCCTGTGCTTTCATGGTGAGATGCATATGCATATCCTGGGTAAGTTTCACTATGGTTACCATAATACAAATATTCCCTCTGATAAGAATACTCAGGCTATAGTGTCATATTAATGCATTAATTAAATGGTAGTTACAAGACTCATGTTGTGCATTAAGTGTTATAACTATCAGTGTACCAGCCTTTAATTTACTTTTAATTTCACTTTTCACTTTCCAAGACAGAATATAATCATAGCTGACCACTAACTAATCACTAACTAACCCTGACTAACTACTAACCTCTAACTAACCAACAAACACTCTAACATCTAACATTCAACCCCCAACCTCTAACTAAAATTAATAGTAATCATTATGTAAATGTATCATAAGTTATTACAATGATTAATGCACAACATGTGTCTTGTAATTACAATGGTAATGCATTAATATGATAGGATCAGGTGGGATACTTCCCTTTAGGTCATGGTCGCCTGGCATATACATGCTGCCCTAAGTCCTCATGATACATATACGCACCATGTGGCTCATCACTGGAGTGACAATAATTATCATATAGTGCAGGAGAGGTATCTTAATGAGGATGCAGGTCACCATAAAGCTATTAATTGTTAGGAGGCTCATGTGAGTGATTGTTGTGTGCCCTATAAGAGTCAGCATGGCGAGGTTCCAGTGCATCATGGCTAGAAATGGCGGGGCCAGGATGAGTATTCTCTGATGAAGCATGTGGTGGATTTTGAGGTAGTGGGGAAAGGGACATCTTAGATACAGACAGACTGTCCATTACCTTCTGCGTGTTTTGTAGGATGTTCTGAGTTACATGAGGAAGGCAGCACTACTGGAAGAATGGGTGCTTCTGTGACTTGTGCAGAGGTTAGATGATCAATAGATGTCTCAGAATACATGACTTCACCATTATTTTGTGAGCCTTTATCTTCTTGCAGAAGACGCATGACCTTGGTAAGAGAAGGCTAGCTTCCCTTAGCCACTGGGTGTGCACGTCACACTGGGCTTATGTTAGTAAATCTTTGAACATTTATGCAGAGCAAACACCTTTTGCAACATCAGGAGGTCCATCATGAATATGTGCTGCTGCATTGTCTGTTTAATTATAAATCAGGATCCCCACTGGACTGAGATAACCAGAGACTTACCTATAGCAGGTGGTGGTTGCCGTTTTTTGTTACCTGAGAATCCCACTGTGAGAGAAGATGAGTGCCCTCCTTTGGCACAAGCTTTGCCTGCAGCCTTTGCACTTGGCTTGTTCTCAATAGTCATCTTCTCTTCTAACTCAATTGGTCATACATGCTTCTTCATAGCTCATACACCTCCAGTATTCAGCTTCCGCTTCCATAAGCATGAAAAATCATCATAGTCAGTATCATCCTTGCTGTGGAGCTCGCCATTGGACAACTCAAGAGGCTCCTCATCAGGCTTGTTGATGTCATCTGAACTAGACAGAATTTCTATTGGAGCTGGCACTGGTTTGGTAGGGAGGCTTTTCGTAAGCTTGAATAAACATGATGGAGGAGGAGGAGGTATGAGTACTTTAGGATGTAAGTTGGTTTTGTGGATAGTAGTCATAGTGTCCTTAACTGCAGTACCTGAACCATTATCCTGGGTGTGAGATGACAAGAGGACCTTTGGCTTCTTCTTCCTGGTTGTGGCAAAGCTGGGTTGAAGGCATGCAGGGCCATCATAATCAAAAGTTCTATTGACAAACATCCACCTCACATTTGGAAAGAGAAAGTCCACAGGAGGTACCTCTCCAATAATGACAGGCTCCTTAGAGGCTATCATAGCCACTGTCTAGTCATTATGAGCTAAATTAAGCTCACAAAACTATTAGCACGTACCTCCAATAGCTTTTGTTACTTTGACAACATGCATTGTCTTTACCTTCAATGCATGAGAAAGCACACTGGCTTCATGTTGTGTGAGTCCTGCAACACCTTTACTCTGTGAGTTAGTATTATGAGACTCTCCTGGCATCCAACTTAAGTGCGCGGGGTACCCCTTAATGCATAGATTATCATTAGCCAGTGAACTAGCCATTAATATCCAGGGGAAGGGTCTATCTGTAAACTTGCCACCGAGTTCTGCTAGGGAAAGAATTGTCAGGATTTTACTGGGAGATGTAATGTGTTACAAACCAACTTGTTTGGTTAATCCAGCCTTGAGTGACTTCAACACATCCTTCTCTTCGCCTGCCTCAGATGAGCTTATATCTAAGACTTCTATTGATGCCTGCTCATTATCCCCTTTAGCATCCTTGAAGGCCTATTCCATGGCAGCAAGTAAGGTGGTGTTATATACATGGGCCTTCATATGCCCAATGATAGCATGGTCACTGGCTTGGCAGTGCTTCTTGAAGAACTACAGAAGGTATTAACAAATATGAAAAACTTTGAAGGTAGGTAGTACTGATACCACCAGCACTGGGCATTGTGTGAACATGGCCAAGCGATGCATTTTCATTGACAATATTGCTGCACATAATGAGAGCCGCCTCAAAACCTTGCCTGGCAGCAGCTTTATCAAGCTACAGGTAATATGCTCAGCTAATTAAGAAAATATTACAGAATAAGATCACTCACAATACTTCCTACCTCTTGTAAAGCTTCTAGAATGATTGTGTGCGTTGTGCAATGGTTTGAGTATCTGTCAGTATGTTGAGTTCTTCATAAGTATTGAGGATGTCCTAATAGGTATCTGGGTAAATTTTCTTGAAGAACTCATAGCACTGACAATGAATACCAGTACCTGTAAGATCAATTATCAGCACTAAGTGAAAAGCACACAGTACAAATAGATCACTTACTTGGTGTCATTAGACCATCCTGGGGAGGAGCACTGTCACCAAGCCTTGCAAGTTCCTGGCAGCATGTGGCTCTTAAAGTACCCTGTGTAAAGATTCCAGTAGTTTGTACTATTGATCACTCAGCTTCAACTCTTCATCCACAAGTTGATTACCTGGTAGAAGGACATGTTTGTATTCTTGGTGGTATCATTGATGACGGTATCCAAAGCAGTGTAACCTTCTTCAAGTGCAGAGTTTGTCTCTAGCAAATGTCGACCAGCAATAGAGGCATCATCATCCATTATAAGATCAGACTCAATATAAGATCCTCTGGTAGTTGATGAACTGAATGTGACTACACGATAATGTAGCCCACCAGCAGAAGGCAGAGTCAAACTCTCTGCAGGCTTGAGGTGAGTTGGTGGGATGATATGTGCCATTGGAATAGCTTCTTGAGTTGGCAAGGAGTTCACTAATGAAAAATCCCAGGGCCTATCTGACCCACATGTATCAGGTTGCGAGCCCCCCCTAAAGCTTGGACCTATGACTGCAGGTATGAGAAGCAGTGAGGTTGGTAACTATGAATAAGAAGCAAGTGGGCTAAGTAAGAGTCTAGGAGCCTCATGTTCCATCAAAGGTGATGACATGAACCACAATGGCCAGGTTCCAGATGATATTGCAAGAAGGTTATATGGACCCATGGAGTTTGAATTAAGAGCACCATACTGTGGCTGCTGGCTGAATACATCTGGAATTTGAGGCATGTGGCTGCTGCTGCTGCTGGCCAGTAGGTGACAATATATTGGAAAATAGATCTTGTGCCTGCACAGGGCACTGAACAGGCATGTCCTCAACCAAAGGAGAGTTGTGACAACTGGAGTGCATCAAATCTAGCAGTGAAGTTAGAAATATGGGGAAAAGTCTTTAATGAAGAATTACCAGGAGCAAAGCTATTAGCGGTATGGTTACTGGGAGCACAGGCTGCTTGATGTCGGATAGCAGCATTCCTTGCAATACCAATGTCCTGTAATGTTGGCTTGATTGTGCTGTATGGTCTTGATGGAGTGAGTTCTGCTGGTGGATCCTTATATTGACCACCTCTGAACTGTTCTGGGACATATCCTACCTACATATATTCAGAGCCTATAGCAGCAGGCAACAATACAGGAAGGTATGTAGGAGGCAAGGATGCCTAGTCATCAGTAGGGTCAGAATAGTAATCTGATAGATTAAGCATCATGGCCTTTGCACAATATCAGAAAAAATGGCATATAGCAATGAAAATACTTATCAGACTTGCTGATACAAAAGGTGGGTGAAAAAATGAGGACACAATACCTTGTACTTATGGCAAATTTTAGTGTGTGCGAAATCCTTAATTTGATTAAGACCAAACAAGTTAGAATAATGGGCAGGAAGTACAGAAGCGAAGAACAATATACCAGACATCATGGAGGTACACTGAGCAGAGTGTAGAGGGTGAATTGGTAAACCTCTTAGAGGCTCCAGAGGCTCAAAAGAGGGCTCAGAATTAAAGTAACTTTGTAACTAAAGATCACATTAATCTATGGCTGAAACCTTACTTCGTGGCCAAGACAACACAATGTTAGACAGAATTAGGTTAGTCCTAGAGTATGAACTATGTACATGTGCTACTTGAGAAGCTGGGTGAGAAGGTGGCTGTATGATTTCCACAATGACTTGGGTATGACGACAAGGAGCAAGCAAAGAAGGAGATAGATGGAGATAAGGAAGACCCTTTCTGTTAAGAACGTGCTCAAGGGTCGGATCCGAAGGGCTTGGCTTCAGCTTGTGTGCTGCGCCCCTTACCCAAGTACGTGCCCCTAACTTCCGAGGGCTGTTGGACAATGTCCGAAGGTTGTTGGACGAGTCCGGAGTCCGATGTCCGATGTGCAGGAATTCCAGCGGATGTTCAGGAATGAGGGATAAGACTAATCCAGACAATGTCCGAACTAGAAAGGAAACAGCGGAGGACTACCAGAGGTAGAGGCGGAGGTGAGAAGTCTATAGAAGTTGATCCTAAGACTAGCGGAGGACGACGAGAGGAGAAACTCAAGTCGGATGGAGAAGAGAATGAGCAGAGTCTAAGATAATATTCGAACTGAGGAAGTACAAAGATTCTACAGGGTTTATATACTACTGAGGACTTAATGGAGAGTTAGTCTGTGCAGTCCGAAGCTATGCGAGGCTGTGGACGGAGCATATAGAAAAGTCAAACACTAGTCTATCGGAAAATAGTAAATGAAGATGGAGATGAAGACATAGGAAAATAAAGGTAGAAATAAAACGAGGTACGGAAAATGAGTATAGTCTAACTGGAGAAGGAATGTTCAAAGGGATAAGGCACGGAAGTTAGATGCGGGTCGGATCCAGACATCTGGAAATGATGTGTGTGATAAGTCCAGGTCCAGAACACAGGATATGACAATATCCCCCTTTTAGGGCCAAGCCCACAAGGCTTCTGATTCAGAAGTCCAGTCCAGAGTTTGATGAATGCGAAGATGGTGGGCGGAGCTCGTAAAAATAGCGCTGGAGCATATAAGTAGGCTGGAACGCCCATGAGACGTTTAAAACTTTCCCCCTAACTCCTATTGCTGCTTAACATGTCTAACTCCACTTCTGGCAACAAGAAGTCCACCTGGCAACTCCTCGAAGAGAGGCAGGCAGAAATGGTAGCCAAAATTGCGCAGCTCGAGGCGGACACTCGGAGAGAGGCGGAGGAAGAGGAGCACAAGCGCAAGGAGGCGGAAGAGGAACAGAAGCGTATGGAGGAACAGAAGCGGAAGGATATCAAGGAGACTTGGAAAAGGTTGGCTGAGCATGAGCGGGAGTGCCTGATGAAGGCTAGGGCGGATAATACGTCGGAGGTGAGTCGGATGAGGTTTTTTATGTTTTCCGGAGGTTCACAGAGTCTTAGTCCTCTGGTCTGGCAGATCCGGAGGTTGCGTGCAAGATGTGCGTCACCAGGCGCAAGACTTGCACCTGGGCAGTAGCGTCCAAGACGCCTAGGGTGAGTGATTGTTTTGTCCGGATCTGGATGATTGCTGATGATTCTGGAAGATCCAGACTTGTGACCAGTGCTGTGCATCCAAGGAGAAGTGCGTCAGCGGAAATCCGCCTGTCAAGGCGCCGGCCAGCAAAGGCAAAGGCAAGAAACGCACACATCCGGAGGGATCTCCGAGCCCCAAGGGCAAAGGCAAAAGGCATCAGCGGAGTCCGAAGGACATCAACGATGACGTAAAGATAATCTCCAGTCCCTGGACAGTCATTGGGGAGGAGCAAGATTGGACAGAGTACAACGACCAAGCCTGGGTCGTGGCTGCCAACAACATTGTGGTGGAATTGGCCCGGACCAATGGGCTGATGGAGAGGGGTATTGCAGCGGCGGAGGGAAGTAGGGCTGCAATGGACCGGGTGAGTGAGACGATGCTCTGGTTCATGGAGGAGCAGAGGGAGTTTCAGAATCTCTTCTTGGAGGGTCTGAGGACCGGATTCCAGATGAATGTGGAGGATTCTCCGGAGGAGGAAGTTGCTGAGGGGGCAGAAAAGGAAACTGGCGGATCCGGTGGAGATATGGAAATGGACTCTTAGGTAGTCGGATCTGAAGTCCGGATGTCGGATGCCTAAATAATGTACATATATGCATGTCCTTTTTTACTCTTTGTTAGAAGTTGGTCCTGGCTTATCTGGATATGCCGAGTGGAAATCCAATAGAAGTTCCAGCACATTTCCTAGTTCGGTTGCAAATATCCAGGAAGTTTCTTCATCTGTTCCCTCGTATCCGGCCCAATGTACTAAGTATAGTAGTTGGCAGTGATGTCTCCGGTGGTCAATCTTGGAGTCCAGAATTTCGGAGATTTTGTATTCTGGTTCTCTGTCAACTAATACCGGAGGCGGAGGAGGTTGGATGAGATTAGGAATGGTGTTAGGAGTTGCAGGTTCTAACTGAGAGACATGGAATATGGGATGCACGGATCACATAGCGTCCGGAAGACGGATGGTGAAGGAATGAGTGCCGGGATGAGTGATGATGTCGAATGGACTGAGATTCTTTTCCAAGAGCTTCTTTGATGGTCGGGTCAAGCGGAAATATTTTGCTTTAACGAAGACCTGTTCTCCGACTTTGAAGTCCAGAGTGGGTTTCTGTCTAGCATCCGCGGGTCCTTGATATCGTGCTTGGGCATGGGACATTTTTTCTCGGAGGAATTGGTGAAGCTCATCTAAATCTATAGCATAATCCCAGGCACAGGCGGAGGAAAGATCACGCTCCGGATGTATGGAAATGTTCGGGTGATAATCCTTATTGGCGAAGAATGGTGAAACTCCGGTGGTAGCACTCAGAGCATTGTTGTATGCAAACTCGGCCAAGGGTAACAGTTCCGACCAATTATCCTGCTGATAGTTGCAGTATATCCGGAGGTATTGTTCTAGGATTTGGTTAGCTCATTTGGTTTGTCCGTCACCTTCCGGATGATATCTGGAGGTGAAATGCAGGATCATGTCAAGTGCTTTTCCAAGCAACCGGAAGAAGTGGGATACAAATTCTGTACCGCGATCGGAGGTGACATGGGACGGAACTCCATGCTTAGAAAACACATGGAGGAGGAACAACCGGGTGAGGTCCAGAGAGGTGATGGTGTCATAGGTCAGAATGAATATGGATTGCTTGGATAGTCGATCTATGACTACCAGGATGGCGGTGAAGCCGGAGGAGTCGGGGAGTTGTTCAATGAAGTCCATGGATATAGAATTCCACGGCTTCTCGGGGATGGGGAGTTGCTTCAACAATCCGTATGGTATATTCCCGATGGATAACTTCCAGGGTCCGGTTCTGACCGAAGTGTCCGGATAGTGGGTGGTCGTGCGTATTCTGGAGCACTCGGAGATGGAGGTCATTGGATTCTGGAACATAGATATGGTTGTCGCAACGGAGGAAACCACTCTCATCTACTGTCCATCTTGGGTCCGACAGATCTGGAAGATGACTAGAAGTGATATGGTCATTAGGGAGGGCGGACAGAACATCCTTATGAAGCTGCTCGACATCCATTAGTACAGCTGCCCGGAGCACCGGAATTGCTAGGTGTGATGCCCGGAGGGACAAAGCGAGCTGTTCTGTGGTAAATATCGGCCGGAGGTTGTGTGGATTAACTTGAGCATAGTCCTTATCCCCCTCTTTGGGGTAGACGTCCCAACGTCTAGTTAGGCAGTCGGGCTTAGCTCCAAGTTTTCTGGGTCGGAAACAGATAATGAGGTTGAACTGATGGAGGTATTCTGACCAGCAGGCCTGGTGGCAGGTGAGGAGTTTTGTCATAGCGAAGTACTCAAGGTTCTTGTGGTCCGTGATGACGTCTATCAGCTCGGCAGAGCCTTCAAGGTAGTGTCGCCAGGACCAGAAAGTTTCGTAGATAGCTAGAAG